CCTCCGGCCCGGCTCCCCGCGCCGCGTGTCCCCGGTCGCCCGTGGCCGCTCCCATCTGCACGCCCAGGACCTCCCCTGCCCGCAGCTCCAGAGCAGCTCCCACTGGCCGGGCCAGAGAAGGACTCTGCTGTCCGCTGTCACAGGCCACCCTCTCCCAGGAGGTCAAGCCCTTCCAAGTCTGTCCTTCCCTCAGGACATCCCTCAGCCCTGGGGACCATACGACCTCCTTGCATCTCAGAGTTGACTCTCGCAGAACATTTGCCACTGAGATGTAATCACACACCATAAAACTCATACTTTCCAAGTACACAGTTCAGCGGGTTTTGGTGCATTCACAAAACCGTGCCACCCTCAGCACTATCTAATTCTCCAACAATCACACCACCCCGCAGAGACACCCCAGACCTGCCAGGCATCACACCTGTTCTCTCCTCCCCCGGCCCCCGGGAACTAGGACTCTATTTTCAACCTGCGTGGATTTGCCTCATCAGGACACTTCATGGAGATGGAATGGCACAGCATGTGGCCTTTCGTGTCTGGCTTCCTTCACTTATATAATGTTTGTAGTGGCCTTTGTTCTTTTTATGGCTGAGTAATATTCCACTGTGTAGATATGGCATGTTTTGTGTATTTAGGTATCACTGATGGACACTTGAGTCGTGTCCACCTTTTGGCGATTGTGGATAATGCTGTTACGAATATGCATGAGAGAGTTTCCGGAGGATGTACGTTTCCAGTCCTTTCGACTCACCCCTGACAGTGGAATTACAATTTTCTTGTCATTAATAGTTCTTATAAGCATCTCTTGGTGGCCTAAGCTAGGAGGCCTTCCTGATTGTCAGGTGTCCCCCTGGGGCAGGGGAGGAGTCTGGGGTGGACAGCTCCCTCCCCTGTCCAGTGGGCACAGCCACACCCTTCAGGGGTGTCATCAGCCTGGGATGAGCCTGTGAAGGCCCCCTGCACGCAGCAGGGCCATGGTCATCACTGGTGACCTTGGTGAGACCCGGCGAAGCCTGCAGGCAGATGCATTTTGGTAACCCTGTGAGTATTACCTCTGTCTCTGGGAGAACCTCCTGTCTTTGACTTTGGCGAATGAACAAGGAACGTGAGCCTGTGTGAAGCTCTCACACATGAGTGGAGAGGAGAGGGAGGGCTGGCTCTTGGGGGCAGGGGAAGAAACAGGTCCTCAGTGCAATGTTTATTGAAGAGATCAGAACACCCCAGTTCCATCCATGTCCTGCCGCAGGCCTGCCAGATGGGCAGTGACCCCTCACCGCTCCACGCTGCTTCTCTGCATCCTGAGGCCACACAACTGCCAAGGGCTCACTGCTTTCGAAAGTGAATGAAGAAGGTCCGGATTTCCTTCGGGTGGATAGTGACGGTGGGGCTTCCGGGGGTTGGCGAGGGGTGGCTGGAGCCTCCTAGGGGAGCAGAGGTGGTCTGTCCAGCACCGCCCTTGGAGCCACCTGCTTCCCCAGGTCACCTCCTCCCTGCAGCCCCCTCACAACACCGCCCCTGCCCACATTCTTGCGGCTCCCATGGTGATCAGGGCCGTCGGCTGCCCCCTCCTGACAGGGCTGCACTGCCAGCGGGCTTCTTTCATTTCTGCCCTCTGCAGAGCACCCCGCCACGGGGAAGGCGGATCCAGCTGGTCCTGCCCCACTTGGCCTCATATCCCCTGGGGTGTGGCACTCAATGCCTGAGAGCTTTCTCACTGAGGCCATGGAGGGGACCTGCTGCCCGTTATCTCACTGGGCTCTGCTGAAGTCACATCCTGGGGTTCAGGCTTCACCCTTGGGATGCATCTTAGCCATCCATTCATTCACCTGTGCTTCTATCCATCCATCCATCCATCCATCTATCGTCCCATCCACTCACTCATCATCCACTCATCCATGTATCCAACATACACCTCCCCCCATCATTGCCTCCCTCCCTCGATGACTCCCTCTTTTTTCCATCCTTCCTTCTTTCTGCTCTTTTTCTTCAACACCTATCCATCTTTCCATCCACCCATCTATCCCACATTGACTCAGTGTCTACCTATGTGCCCAGACCATGCTGTGCACAGTACACAGAAGGTGATATGGGTCAGAGCCAACTCAGGAGAAATGGAGAGCAGAGGAGGCACCTGACCCAGCCCTGGACCTCGGGGAGCTCGACTAGAAGCTGGCCAGGATGAAGGGGACAACGCTGTCCAGGCAGAGGGAGCAGCACAGGCACAGACTGGGAGGCAAGAAGCAGCCAGTGGTTTTCAAGGGGTAACTGTCGGGTGTGCAGTGTGAGCTCAGCATGGCAGGTCCCCCCTGGGGATGTGCTGGTGAGTTTGGGGCTCACCCAAGGCACGGGCAGGGGTATGGTCTTGGAGAAACACACACACGCACAGACCACCTGTGTGGACTCCTGGCAGGTGGAGGCTGACCTGAAGCCTTCCTTAACCTAATGTGGTGCGTTCAGGAAGGCTGAGACTCAGAGCAGGAGGGCAGCCTGTTCAAGGTCACACGGGTCTTAAGGAGCAGAGCGGGATCTGAGCCAAGCCTGTCCAGTTCCTGATCCTGGCTGAAGGGCGGGCTGGGAATCCCGGGTGGAGCCTGAACCAGGGGCGCCCAAACCTCTGTGGAGGGGACGATCCTGGGTCCTCCACGTCCAGCGGTGCAGCGTGCTCACGTCCCAGGTCCCGGTGAGCGAGCGCTCCTCCACCGCCAGCACGGAGCCCAGTCCCCGCAGCACGGACTGTGGGACGGGAGGACAGGGAGGGGTGAGCTGCCCGAGGCCCCAGATCTGAGCAGAGAACGAAGCAGAAGCAAGGGCGGGCGCACCGCGGCCCAGGGCGCAGCATCTCCTGCATTTCGTTCCCGAAGCACATCTCCAGGGGCAGGATGGGCAGCCCCATTTTACAGGTGAGGGAACTGAGGCCGGGGAGGAGCGTGCGTCCCCAGGTGCCCAGCTGGATGAGCAGGCCCAGGGGGCGGCAGGCAACTGACCTTCCCCCAACATCGGCCCCTCCTCCCAGCGTTGCTCAGGTGGCGCCCTGCATGGACCCGGGATGGAGCCAGTCCTGGTTTCCATCCCCTCTTCCCCAGTAAGCACCGACCCAGCCCCCCGTGCAGAGGGGAGGGAGGCCGCCATTCTGGCCACTGTAAGGAAAGGACACTCTGCGGACCGGAGGGCTGGGGTTGTCTGCAGGGGCTTCCCTGTGCTGGTGGGAGGAGAAGGCGCGGAGGGCGAGGCTCTGTGTGCTGCTCCCATCCCGCCTTCTGCCTTTACATCTGCTTCTGTGACCAAGTGGTGACAACAGAAGAAATAAAGCCAGTGCACGGATGAAGGCCAGGTGGGAAGATGAAGGTCACCTGGTCCGCAGGTCCGTGATGACAGAGGGAAGGACCCTGGGGAGGAAAGAGGCCGTCCACCCGCCTGCATGGAGGCGAGAGCTGTGAAAGGGGGGCGATGGGAAGGCATCGCAACGGCAGCTCCGGGTGGGCTACTGGGTCCTTCCAGAGTCCGTGGAGGACACAGGTAGCAGTGGGGCCAGAGCCACAACACAGAGATTTTCGGAAATTCTCTGTGAGCAGGAGATGAGTAACGAGCCCACAGCCCCACAGAGAAGCAAACTGGGGAGAAAGCAGGCGTCTCCTCACAGCTTCTGAGGAAAGAAGGTGGTCAGTCCGGGCAGCAGGCGCCTCACCTGTTAGTGGGGGTCAGAGGGGAGCGAGGACGGAGGTCGGGGTCCGGGGACACAAATCCACCAGCCTCCTAGGTGTGAGGCCCCTGTGTGCACGTGAGCACCCCAGGGCCTCTCAGCAGCCCTGAAGGCAGAGACTCCGCCCTCCCCATTCAGAGGTGGGGAGTCTTAGGCCCAGAGCCCAGGGGGCCCGCGCTGCTCAGCAGAGTCTCCATGACCCACACCCTGGATTCTGTGACTGATCACAATCTAGGAAGTCTGTGTGAAAATCTACTGTGTTTTCTGATCACATAAGTAACATCTGTGTTGTGTAAAAAGATTTATCACAAGAATAAATGTGAAACAACCAAAATGCAGGCATGTTGTCACAACTGACAGCCCAGAAGACATCAAAGAAGGAGGGGGGCGCCTCCCCCCTGTCCCCCGGAGACTGACCCTCCCTCCTTTGTGCCCAGGGGCATCCGAGTCAGGACGGTCGCGCTTGGGTTTGTCTCCCTGTGTGCATCTGCTGGGGGGCAAGAGGCTGATTCAGTGACCTGAGGGCGGGACACAAGGTGGGGGCAGGTTACCTGCAGGTTCACTGTCACAGGCTGAGACAGGACCGGGTGCTCCCCCACCTCATACAGGTGGTGGATCCGCAGCAGGACACGGCGGAGGTCAGCCTTGGCCTTTCGTGGATGGCCTTAGGGACACAGGAAGGTGGCAGTGAGGACCCCGGTCTGTGCCTGGTACTTTACACACTCACCTCAACTTCACATCTTCAACCGCCCTGGGAGGCAGCTGACACGGCCCCCACTTGACAGACAAGGATTTGAGGCTCGGAGAAGGGCAGACACTTGCCCAAGGCCACACAGCTGGTGAGCAACAGAAGGAGGGAGGGAGGATTCCAGCCCAGGTCCAGCTGACTCTAATGCCTCCCACCACCCACACAGGAGCCAATTCTGACGTTTGGAAAGTCTCGGTCCTCATTCAGCTTTGTGGCCATCACTGAGCCCGCCTTCAATCTTCTAGTTCTCTGGAATATTCTCTCTGTTTCGGCCCTCGGGGAGGATGGTGCAGCCAGGCAACCCCGAGGCCAACACAGTGCGAGCACTGTGGCCCACAGAAGCGTTTTCCTGTCTCTGTGACTGAGGAAGCAGGTGGCGTAGCAGCCTGCGAGGGGTCTCTGGAGACCAGGTGAGAAGGGCCTTCCTGCTGAGCCCAGTGGACACGTGGCGTGGGGGTGAAGTGACCTCGTGCCGTGGCAGTACTGTGAGAATTTGGGCTCTTTGTTAATGCAGCACAAGAGGTTCGCGAAGTCTCCTCTCTGTGTTCCTAGTGCTGAGCTTAAGGTTCAAAGCTCCAGAAACACACGGGACTTCAGCTCCCGAGATGCTGATGGTGACGGTGTGGCTGACGGTGGTGGTGATGACGGTCATGATGGTGATGAAGATAGCCTATTTCATACGGGGGTTGTAAGCGACTGAGGATGCAGGGGGCACTTGTGCCATCCCTGCCTGCAAACCTCACCTGGCCCCTCACTCACTGCTCTCTGGAAGGAAGCACTGGTCCAGCCCAGCCCCCTGGTCCTCTTCTATAGTAGAAGCTGCCTCCAGTGCAAGCGTTCTCAGTGGGCTTGGCCTCGCACACAGGTGGGTAGGGAAGGCTCTGTTACTGCAGGGGAGACCCCCTACCCCTCGTCTTATATAACAGGTAGGGGTGGAGATGCTAGTGGTCAGTGTTGGAAAGTCACGTGTCTGCCGGATTGAGCTATGTTCTCCAACACCCACTTTATCCGATACAAAGGCAGTATTCAGCCTTTGTCTCTTAGTTTTCCCTTTTCCCCTAATTTCCACAGACACTTACTTTGGGGTGTGCCAGCCCTGAGTGGGTCTCTGGGAACAGGATAGTGGCTGAGGCACAGTCAGCCCTGCTAGGGAGGTGCTCAGGTGTATAGTGGCAGATCAGGTGCCGCAGGGGCTTCAGCAATGTGATGAATTGGTTCCTGGCAGGTGTTTCTTCCCCCAGGAAGCCCTCCTTGAGGCCCTGCTGGGGGCTTCCCTCTGCACACTGTCACTGCTGTCTGGATGGCATCCAGGTACACCTTGTCCCAGGCTTCCTGAGCGACCTGCCTCTCTGTGGGCCTCGTTCTCCCCATTAGCAGATAAGAGAACCAGGGTATATAGAGCCTGGACAGCTCTGAGGAGAGCTCCTTTGTCTGGTTGATATGGGGAGAGAGGAGTGAATCTGGACACATGAACACGTGCCTCACCTTTCCGGAGATTCCACAGGTGCTCTGTGTGGTTGGAGCTGTACTTCCAGCCGGGGATGCTGAGGGTCTGCAGGTGGAGACTTGGGGGCAGAGTCACAGCCTCTTGCTGCTGGGGGCCTGGGCCATCCTGGGCAGTCTCTGCAAGGCAGATGGATGACAAGGAGAGGGCTGAGACCAAACTCCTCCTTCTGGCATTCGGAGTTCTCTAAGTCCCCCGTTCCAGCTGGTCTCCCAGCCCTCCCACATGTAGCCCACCCCCCAGTCAGCCTGAAGCAGCTGCTGGTGCAAATGCCCCAAACAGCCTTGAATCTCTCGTCCAGTCATTTCAAATTACAGATGGGGAAACTGAGACCCAGAGAGGGGACTGTTTCTTCCAGATCACACAGGAAGTCCACTTGGAGCCCTGTTTCTGTCCAGTGTTGGAAGCCAGCTCCCCTTGTTGGTCATCCATCGGTGTCTCTGCTCAGAAGGACCTCAGCCCCCCTCCTTCCAGGAAACGGTCTGTTCACCTCTGGGCTCCAGCTGGAGCTGCCATCTCCTCACAATACCCGAGGCTACAGTGATTGGTCCAGGCCTGTGTCACGTGATCTCGCCAGGACCAATCATAATCTTTCCCTGGACCTCTGCTCTTGAGACCTTAGTCTGAGTCTCAGTTCTTTTTGGGTGGAGGGGAGACATGTGGCCCCAGAGCTGTTCACAGCCACATCCCAGCTAGGAGGCGGAGGAAGAAGGTCTGCAGACAGAGGGGCCGCCGCGTGAAGGGTCCAGCACCCGAGGCACAATTACATCCTCGCCGTTGCCTTGTTCTGTGGGCCTCAGAATAAAGGCTCCTTGTGGCTCAGTTTTGGTTTCTCTCATGTGTAACCGGAAGAGACCAGAGTGGGTCCTGTGGATGGAGCCGACCACGGGCTTGGAGCTTTTTCACCAGGGCAACATCCCCTCTGTGGGAAAGGCTCTCAGCTGCCACGAAGGAAGCACTGACTGATCCAGGAGCAGCCCCCGACCCTACCGGCCAGTCCCATCCCCTCTCCTGGGAATCTGCACCTGGGACCTGGAGGTGGCCGGGCAGGCAGCTCTTGGCAGTCCTGGGGGAGATGGCCGTGAACACTTGCTCTCGAGAAGCCCAGAGCTGCCCTGTCTCCCACCTGACAGGCCTCTTGTCCAGCTTCTCCTTCGACTCCACGAGCTTCCCCAGGCTCTGCCCCAGTGGCTGTCCTTCGGTTTCTTTACTGCCACACAAGAGAACATCACCTGATAGCCCTCAGAGCTGGTCCCTGACCTCCACTGGGTCTGAGGTCTCCAACTCCACCAGACCTACACACACCAGGCCCTCCCTTCAGCACCGCTCCCTCTCCATCCTGAACCCGGACCTGGGTGAGCCTGTCTCTCCAATGGACAGCCGCCGAGAAACCTTCAGGAGAGGGCCTGGGCCTAATGCATGCACAACTTGCAGCATACAGCAGGCACTCAATC